GGCGCGTGACTGCCCCGCCTCGTGTTCTGCCGGTGACGTCAACGCCCGAGGGCGCGGGGTGGGGGCAGGGCTGCCTGCGCCCTTCTTGTCTACCCCCAATGTCCCTCACCCCAGACCAGACTCCTCAAATCCAGGCAGACTCCTGCTTTGTTACTTAACAAAGGGCCCGGAGCACCTGGGTGAAAAGGTTCAGAGGAAACAGAACCTGACGAAAGTCCTGGTTTGTCACTGTTAGCAGGGACCTGAAGAGCTGAAGTACTCCCTGCAGACCTAACCCTGCTGCTGGGGTGGAATACGTAAGAAATGACGGGAGCGATAGGACCACAGCTACTCTAGGGAGGGGAGCAGCTGTTGGGAGCCTCTGCCTACGGAGCTGGGGCCTGGCAGCATGGGAGAGGGGCCATATTAATTGGGAAAAGGCAGTTGCAAAATAAAAGCAACATTTTGTGAGGAAAATGATACGTGTAGTGACAGGACTGTAGGACCAAATGGGTTGGGATTTCAATTCATTTTACTTTTGGACGAGGGATAGGGTTTAAAAAAAAAAATGCTGCATTTGCCCCCCAGCAGTTTTTGGCTTGTGATGTGCCTCAGGCTGTGGATTTAATGACTACTAGAGGCACCAGGTCAAGGTAGCCCCCAACCTAGCCTAAAGCAAACGTGGTGGATTCACTTCCTCTAAGTGGCAGGAAGGACCTGAGGACCTGGGTGTTTCTTTCCTTTTTTTGAGACAGGATCTTGCAATTCAGGCTGGCTTTAAACTTGGCCACCGTCCTGCCTCAGCCTCCCAAGTGTGGGGGTTATAGGCAGGTTTGAGTGTTTAGTGAGGATTTTGAAAAGGAAGAGGACAGCTGGCATCTCCTGGATCACTGCAGGGCCAAAGTTCAGGGGGACCACAGTCTGAGATTCTCATGAGGGTCAATCAGTTGGTAGTGGCCACAAGGTAGAAGGTGGAGGGACAATCCAAGTAGCCAGAATAAGAATGGCATCTGACAGCAGTCCTGCCAGGAAGTCTCCTCCCAGGATAACCACCCACAGCAACTCAAACAGAACCACCCTGTGACAGACAACAGGCTCCCTTAACAACAAGAAGGAAGCTGAGAAAATATTTTCCACTTGCCTCTGTAAGATGGCATCTACAGGCAGGGCAGGGCCCAGGCTGCAAGGAAAACTGGTGACTCATGTGACTGTCAACACAGGTCAAGTATGTGGCAAGCCTAAGCTTCTTCCTTTGTGACTCTCAGCCAGGCTTTTTGGCCACACAGCCTTCTCCAAGACTGCTCCACCAGTCTTATTCTGGCAACATTTCCAAGGGTGGGTAATTTGGCATGAAAGAAGTGAGGAAAAAGGAAATCGTCAAGAATGTTCTAGAAAGCTGGGGGGTGTTCATGAAACCAAAGCCTCCCAGCTGCTTTGCAATAAATACCAGGCTGAGGAGTCAGCCCTTTATTTGTCTGACCGGCTGTTGGGGAGGTGCACAGTCACTACTGTTCTGCTTGCAGGGCCCAACTTGATGTTTTACCTTGATTTTATCTCGTCTCAAGATTTCCTTCATTTACACATACCATTCCCAAATCCCAGAAATTATTTTACATTTTATTTTTCAAAAGAATGGGAGTAGGAGCTGGATATGGTGGCTCACACCCATGATCTTAGCACTTTGGAGGCCCAGGCAGGATTGTGAGTTTGAGGCCAGCCTGGGCAACACAGTGAGACCTAAAATACAGCGAGAACCTGTCTTAAAAATAAAAAAGTAGTAGTAGGGATGATTGGCAACACACAAAGCCTAGGGTTATTCTATAAACACAATTTCTCCATCACACAGAAATAAGGCTCCTTTGTTCATTCAGGTCTGGAACTGCCCTGGCCACCCCCTCAGTCTTCAAGGACAAAATTACCCTTTCAAGGAGTCTGTGTTTGAAAGCTCTCCTGGTCTCCAAGTTCCACACAGCTGGTTTTCTTTGGGAAAAGAGTGTATTTGAGAAAAGGTAAGAAAACCATACAAGTTTTGCCTGGTGGCAGAATCGTACTCATTTAGGTTTATCTGAGGTGTGATTATTGCTAATTGAAAATCTTCCCAATAACCTTCTGTGACAACTTGAAATTTCGTCAGCATTGAATTTTTTTAATTAAAAAAAGAAAAAAAAAATCACACAGACCCTGTCCTGCTTTTAGGGGGCCAGGGCTGTAGAAAAACACTGGGTCTGGGTTCTACTTTCTTCCTCTACAAATAAGGCTAAAAATACCTCCACCCTGGTGGAGAACAAGGGCAGGGAGGTGTCAGCAAATTTCTGTAGATTAAAATAAACTGTTCTGGAACACTGTAGTTAAGGTTTTGGGTCGCCGGGCGGGGCTGAGTGGGATGACCCTCCCTGGGCAGTGGCCACAGCCTGCTCCTTTTCATGCAGCTTGCACAGGGTCTCTGGGTGGGAGGGGAAAGGACAGGGAGGGGCAATTTAGACAACATCCAGATTCCAGGGCCAGAGCCCCTCACCAAGCACTTTCCCAGGGCCACCTGTCCTGCCATCTTGTTCAGAAGCCAGCTCAGCTGTTGTTTTCAGACACATAATGCACCAGCCCAGAGAAGGACCCCAAGATTTCCCACAAGAACCCCAGGAGAAGAGAGCAAAGCGGGAGGGGGAGTCAGGGTGGTGTTTCACCGTTTACCCCAAGGGTAGTTCGAGGACAGTCTTACTGCTGCCACTTGAGAATATGCTGGAACGCTACCCTCCCTCCTCCATCCATGAGCCCATTCAGGAGCTATGGCTCCTGGGACACCTTGGGCTCTTCATGCTGCCAGAGGCCCAGGGCCTAGGCCTTTTCCCTCTGAGCCCTGGGCCTCAACACTGCTTGGGCCTGGAAACTGCAGAGTCACAGTAAGCTGGCCAAAAGCCATCCTGTCCCAACCCCCTCAACTGGTTTCCCAGCAGCCAGAGGAGCAAAACAAGCTGGCCCCACCCCCAGGCCCAGCTGCCTCTTCCTGCCAAGCTGGGCCTGTTGGGCTGCTGCAGCATCTACAGTTAACCAAAGCCAAGCTCTAGATCTTTTCCAGCTTCCTGGCTCCACGCTGGGGCCCCTTCTCACCCTGACATTTCTTAACTCTGAGTAATACGCTTCACACAGTGCTGCCTAGCCCACCCCACCTTCAGCTCTTCAGGGCTGTGCCCCAAGGTCATGTCTCAGCAAGGCCTCCCCAGCCCTGAAATGGATTGTCCCGTGTGTCCCCGATCTCTGTGACCACAGAGACTCTGGCATGCAGCAGACCTCAGTATGTGTTTGTGACATCACTGTTATTTTGCAAAGGTCACAACCAGGCGCTCTGCTGTTTTTGGAGTGACAAGAGGAAAGGGAGGAGGTAGTTCATCTGTCAGCCATTCCCCATAAATGCTGTGGCAGGAGGCAGGCCTGGCTCTGTCCTGGGGAGCCAGGTCAGGAGCCTAGGAGGACAGAGGACAGTGGCTGGGACTGGGACATTGGGCGTGGGCAGGGGGAGAACAAGGGAGCCTCCTGTACCAAAGGGCGGCAGAAGGCAGTAGGAGAGGGTGGGGATGCCAGTCATACTCTACAAAGCAGGGTGGCAGGACCAGCCCACCTGCCTTTCCTGCTCCCATTTCTTTGCTCCAAGTCAGTTAAAAGGCAAGAGAAGGTGGGAATCCTCAGACAGGAAAGGGCTGCTCAAGCATCTGACCTTGTCTGTTTGTGAGTGGGGTCTGTGGGGACTTGGTCCTTTCAGATCCTTTCTGGCCACTGTCAGGGCAGATCCCACCGGGCTTCCTCCTCTGCAGGCCCCACCTCAGGCCATGCCTTGCGGGGTACAAGTTTGATAGTATCAATCCCTGAAATTCAGATCTCCCAGGACTTTGCGATACTGTTCCCTCAGTCTTTTTTTTTTTTTCCTTTCTTTAGATAGGATCTTACTATGTAGCTCAGTTCAGGCTGTCTTGAATGCCTATAGTCCAGGCTGGTCTCGAACTCACAGCAATCCTCCTGCCTCAGCCTCCCCAGTGCTGGTACTTCAGGCATAGTCTAAGACTGTAAGACCATATTTTTGAGCATCTAGTTTTCTGCCTCTTGTCCTCGGCCCTCAGCGCCCAGTCCTCCTGAACACCCTATTTCTGAGCTTTGCCTCCACCTGTCTCCCTGCTTTACTGGCTCACTGCCTGTCTCCTGCAGCCTCTGTCTCTGTCATAACGCTCATTTGACCATCCTGTCCTCCCCATCTGAGTGGCTCATCCTGACTGTCCGGGCCCCTGAAGACGGAAAGCCAGTGGAATGGGTGGCCCTGTCCGATAGGCCTCACCTGCCACTGCTAAACTGGTGCGTCCAGAGACTTTCGGTCCTCCTCCTCCCCAGTGCTCACTGAGCAACTCTCAGCTTTCCTGGACACCACTTCTAGCTGCTTCTCCAAACCACCACCAGGAACCCTGGGGACAGCTCACCGGGGGTGGGCCGGGCTCAGCCATACGCTGACATGCTACCATCTCCTACACCTTGGCTTACACAGGGTCCAAGAAATGCTGTCCCTTTCCCGGGACCCAGCCACAGCCCCACTGCAGAGCCTCCCACTTCCACACAGGTGGCTGCCAGCAGCAGCGTCCTTAGCCCAGAGGTTGCTTCTCTCTGCGTGTCCCCACCTGAGCACGAAACTGTCCTTGAACCTCTGTAGGAGCCTTTTCTGTTCTGACACGACTTGGCCTGACTGAGCGCCATCCCCGAGTCTGTGCGTGGGGCCAGCTACTGTGGGTAGAGCGGACGCGCTGTGGCGCCTGCTGACCTGGACGTTGTGCGGGAGAGGCCTGCGCTCATTGGCTCGGGGGTCAGTGATCACTGCCACTCCCACCCGAACGAGGCCAAGGGCAGATGGCAGAAGTCCTAGGGAAGAGCTGGGACTACATCATCTTCCTGCTGCAACGAGTATTTGGGTCAAATTGTTTAGGAGGTAAAACCAGGAGGCCGGAGGTGTGGCTCAGAGGTGGAGCCCTTACCCAGCATACTCAGGGGACTGGGATAGGAGCCCTAAGAGAGGGACTGGGACAGCTGCTGAGGAGGGACTGGCTGGGTAGAGGCCTGGGATTTCTGCTCCCGTGGGCACTCGGTGGAACCCACTATACTTTCTTCAATTTCCCCAAATAGCTCTGGCTTTAAATATCTCGACTAAGTTGTCGTTTCACAGAACTTACAAATTTCACCTCAGAATCTGTTTCCAGATCTTGACCTGTGGAAAGCACCCTCATCACCAAGCTGGAGAATCCCAGGGAATCTCCACGTCAGGTGCTTTGGAGGTCTGGGATGCCCCAGCACTGGTGGCTGGAGTCAGGGTGCTTGCTCTGAATGGGGTTAGGTGTGCAGCCCAGACCCTGTGTGTCTCAGATTGTCTCTGGGCACGACCACGTTCCAGGTTGTGTGGACTGGGAATGGAAGGGAGTACTGGGAAAGGGTGGACTCAGCTGCCCCCTACTGGTTGCAGCAGGATCAGCACCTGCAGGCTGCTAAAGGCGACGAGGGTGATCAGTCATCACCGGCTCTGAATTTAGTACTTGAAAGCGAAATCCTGAGATCCAGCCTGGTCCTGCAGCTCCATTCTGAGTGAACTTAGGTAACCATCTTGCCTTCTCTGAAACGTGGGGTAAATGCAGGGAGGAAGTGCTAAGTGGCTGTAAAGGTCCTCCATGCCAGGGAGAAGTGTGAGCAGTCAGACTGTCCCAGGGTCTGCATCTCCCTTTGGCCAAGGCTGTTCACGTCCATTAGGCGTGAGGTCACAGCAGTGCTGTCCCCACACCTCTCACTTTGCTCCATTTGCCTCTCTCCTACTGAGCCTGGCAGGGCCCTCCTTCAGGAAGCCGCCTTTGATCACAGATCAAGCTTGTTTTCTGTTGTCTTGTGATGGGCGTGGCCAGTTTATCTATTGGGGACATTAGGGGTGTGCAGAGCGGCTGCTTCTGCTGGTCACTTGTGTACAGATCCCTAGTCACCGGTTCTACGACCCTACGTGGTGTCCCAGGCTCCTGGCATGTTCACCCCCCCACCCCCGCTTCATCTGTGTCCTTTGAGCCTTTGTCTTTTCAGTGTATGACAGCTTCTCGGGCTACCCTGCTGTAACCTTTGTGAGTCCAGCAGGGTCCCTGTGCTGGCACACCACTGGGGTGGGTGGCACGAAGCTGCCCAGTGGGTCTGAGCCAACCACCTGCCGGTCCGCAGTTTCATAGGAGCCTCTCCAGCCAGCTCACCCAGGGCAGGGAGGCCTGTGGATTTTCCAGGTACTACCGCCAGGGCCGGAGGGACAATAGGACTGCCTCTCTGACTGTCCAGTTTCCTGTTGTGGGAGTTGTGAAGAGTGAAGTATGTATTGGGCCGGGAATTTAGCTCAGCGGTTCGGTGGCCTGCCTTAAGTGCAAGGACCGAGTTCAATCCCCGGTACAAAAAAAAAAAAAAAAAAGAGGG